CTATGGGGTCGGGTCACGAGACTTGCATATTTATTTGACCAATTTTTTGAAGTAAATTTCAAGTTACAGATTTTGTGACAACAATTACGGTAACAAAGACGATTGTCGAGAAATTCGACAGGAATGTCAATTTCAGCATGTGGCAACTCAAGATGGAGGCCATTTTGGTTCAAGACGGAGTTAACTTGGCAATTCAGGGATTTGAGAAAAAATTAGAAGATGTAAAGGATGCGAATTTCGCCGATATGGATAAGAAGGCCAGATCCATCATAATCTTAAATCTCTCCGATGAGGTATTGCGTGAGATAGCAACGGAGACTTCGGCCAAGGCTATGTGGAATAAATTAAAAGCCTTGTATGTGAAAAGACAGTCGAGAATCGACTATATCTGAAGCAGAGTATGTATATGTTTTGGATGTCTGAAGGTATATCTATACTCTCCCATCTTGATAAATTTGATTCCATTATTATGGATTTGGAGAATATAGATTCAAAAATTGATGACGAAGATCAGACCCTATTACTTTTGTGTTCCCTTCCTCAATCCTTTAAGTATTTCCGTGATACTATGATTTATGGAAAGAAAATAATTTCGTATCGAAAAATTAAATCTGCATTAAAATCTAAAGAGCAGATAGATAGGGATATTACTGGAAAAACTAGTGGAAGTCAAGCCGATAGCTTGTTTGTTCGGGGTAAATCTAAAAAAAGAAACACAGAAAATAGAAGTAGATCCAAGTCCAGACATAAAAATGTGATGTACAACTATTATAAAAAGAAGGGTCATGCTATCTCTGATTGTTTTAAATTGAAAAATAAAGAAAAGCAAAAGAAAAAATTTGTTGAGAAAAATACTGAATCCGCTGAACCTAGTATAGCAGTTGATGAGAATGATGGAACCATTTTCTGTGCAACGAAAAATAATTTTAGGTCTAACAGTGAATGGATTTTAGATTCGGGTTGTTTGTATCATATGTGTCCCAATAGGGACTGGTTTTCAACATATGAATCAACTGAAAGTGAAGTTGTCTTAATGGGTAATAACGCCGTTTGTAAAGTTGGCAAAGGCACAATCTGAATTAAAATGTATGATGGTATTGTGAGAACACTCACAGATGTTAGACATGTTCCAAATTTGAAGAAAAATCTCATCTCTTTGGGCACTCTTGAGTTTATTGGGTGCAGGTATTCAGATGGAGATGAAATTCTCAAAATCACTCGAGATGCTCTTGTTGTTATGAAAACACATAGATCTGGTACTTTATATATTTTGCAGGGATCTACTGTTATAGGTGTTGCTGTTTCAACATCATCTTTGTCAGATACAGACATCACCAAATTATGGTGTCCTAATTCCAAATCCCCAAAATTTGTGATCAGTAGAGATGTGACTTTTGATGAATTGTATATGTTATCTTGCAAGAAGGAGTCTTCTAGTCCTTGTACTACTAATAGTACACAAAAGCAAGTGGAACTTGATATTTGGCAGTTCTGGTTCTTCTCAGACCAAATCTTCTATTCAAAAAGTACCGGTAGATGCACATGAATCTACTGTTGAAGATAGTTCAGAAGAAGTGGAGTATTCTATAGCTACAGATAGACAAAGAAGAGACATTCGACCATCAAAGATATGCAAATTTAGTTACATATGCTTTGTCTGTTGCAGAAGAAACTGATGCAGTTGGTGAGCCTTCCACTTATTCAGAAGCAGTTTCTTGTGATGATTCTGCAAAGTGATTGATTGCGATGAATGAAGAAATTGAATCTCTCCATCAAAATGAAACTTGGGTTCCTATAAAGTTGCCATCAAATAAAAAAATAGTTGATTGCAAGTGGGTTTTCAAGAAAAAGGAAGGTATTCCAGGGGTTGAAAATGCAAGGTATAAAACATAATAGTTGCAAAGGGCTATAGTCAGGTGCAAGGTGTTGATTTTAATGAAATTATTTCACCTGTTGTTAAACATAGTTCTATTCGTGTTTTGTTTGCTTTAGTTGTCATGTATGATTTGGAGTTAGAGCAGCTTGATGTTAAGACAGCTTTCTTGCATGGCGAACTTGAAGAACAAATTTATATGAAACAACCCCAAGGTTTTGAAATTAAAAGTAAGGAAGACCATGTTTGCTTATTGAAGAAATCCTTATATGGATTGAAACAGTCTCCAAGATAGTGGTATAAGAGGTTTGATTCCTTTGTGTTGGGTCATAGTTATTTGAGAAGCATGTATGATAGTTGTGTTTACTTTCAAAAGTTAAATGATGATTCTTTCATTTATATGCTGCTTTATGTTGATGATATGCTCATTGTTGCCAAGAATTTGTCAGAAATTCACACTCTCAAACTGCAGTTAAATAGTGATTTTGAAATGAAAGATTTGGAAGCAGTTAAGAAAATTCTTGGCATGGATATCAAGCGAGATCGAGGAGTATGGAAGTTGTTTTTGACCCAGAAAAATTACCTTGAAAAAGTCTTGGAACATTTTGATATGAAAGATACTAAACCAGTATCTACTCCTCTTGCTAGCCATTTTCGACTATTAGCTGCTCAATCACCACAATCAGATGAAGAAGAAGATTATATGGCACGGGTTCCTTATTCCAGTGCAGTGGGCAGTGTTATGTATGCAATAGTTTGTACTCGTTCAGATATCTCACATGCAGTTAGTGTTATTAGCAGATATGTCTTGCTCTGGTAAAGCACATTGGCAGGCTATGAAGTGAATTCTCAGATACTTGCAAGGTACTTCAAATACATATTTGGAGTTTGGAAGAAATAATAACACTTTGGTTGATTTTGTAGACTCAGACTACGCTGGAGATCTTGACATGAGAAGATCACTTTCAGCCTATGTATTTTGCATTGGTGGTTGTGCTGTTAGTTGGAAAGGTACTCTACAATCTGTCGTAACTTTGTCTACTACAGAAGCAGAATATATAGCTTTGACCGAGACAATTAAAAAAGCCTTGTAGTTGAAGAGTTTATTTAGCGAGCTTAGTCTACATCAAGATGTTACTGTTATTTACTGTGATAGTCAAAGTGCCATACACTTGACTAAATATCAGATGTATCATAAGAGGACGAAATACATTGATGTGAAGTATCACTTCATTCGGGATATCATTGCTGAAGGAAAGGTCCTTATTCAGAAAATCAATACCAAGAACAATCCAACTGACATGTTTACGAAACCTCTTCCAGTTTATAATTTCAAGCAGTGCTTGGACTTGATTGTGTTCGTTGTATGTGATTTGGCCCATTGAAACTTATGTGGAGAAGATGGAGCAGTTTTGCTATTATCCATGGTGAGACTAAAAATTATGCCAAGGTGGAGATTTGTTTATTTGTCAAGCTACAGCCGCAATTCTTGATTTGTGTGGCACAATTTTAATCCCACATCGAACAATAGCAAGGAAAAGTCGGCTACTGAAAGTTATAAATAGAGGGCTCCTATAAAGATTTGATTTGCACCACTCAAGAGAGTTATATGGACTATTAGTTTCTTGAATCATTTAACCCATTTGTAGTTAAATATTTTAGACTCTCTTGTTTTGTGTTTAGGAATATTTTCTAAACCTTTTATAAGTGCCTTTTGGACTAGGAACCACTTTCCTACGGCTTTTGTATTTCTTTTTCATAGTAGAAGTCTTCCGTCCGTGGACGTAGGTCAATTTGACCGAACTACGTAAATCTTCTATGTCTTTTATTTGCTTTGTTATTTTGTCTTTATTGGGTTGCCACAACCCTTTTATATGGTCGGTTTTACCGCCTAATCATTATATGGCTGGTGTTTACCGCCTAAGTATTATATGATCGATTATATCGCCTATTTTGTTCTAACTTTAGTTTGTTTATTCTTGGGCCAGTCCTAACAAACTAAAATTAGAACAAAATCGGCGATATAACCAATCATATAATAATTAGGCGGTAAAACCGACCATATAAAAGGATTGTGGCAACCCAATAAAGACAAAATAACAAAGCAAATAAAAGACATAGAAGATTTACGTAGTTCGGTCAAATTGACCTACATCCACGGGCGGAGGATTTCTACTATGAAAAAAAAATATAAAAGCCGTAGGAAAGTGGTTCATAATCCAAAAGGCACTTATAAAAGGTTTAGGAAATATTCCTAAACACAAAACAAGAGAACCTAAAATATTTGACTATAAATGAATTAGATGACTCAAGAACCTAATAGTCCATATAACTCTCTTAAGTGATGCAAATCAAACCTTCACAGGAGCCCTCTATTTATAACCTTCAGCAACCGACTTTTCCTTGCCATTGTTCGATGCGGGATTAAAATTGTGCTCTACAAAATCAAGAATTGCGGCTGTGGCTTGACAAATCAACAGTAGACTTAATAGATACACTGGCAATGCTGAATAAAGCACTGTCTTATAGGTTAGGCTTACAGCCAATTCACCTCTAGGGGATTCATCCACAAATGAAAAGTAAATTCCGCACCTGAATTATTTTTAGTACCTATTTCAAAGTTCAGCTTTATCTAGAGAACAACTTCTTATATTAATCTGTACAGTCTTTCAACAACATCAATTTGCTATAAAGCACATTACCCAGAATTCTACAAACAACAAAGAAGTCAGATTGAAAGAACTCAAATGTTAAATTTGACTGAGAGCTGCCAGTTTTCTTTTTGAAAACCAACCTAGAGACTCAGAACAGTTTGAATAAAGAAAGACTGCTGAGCCTGGAAAAGTTGAGTATGCAAATCTGAATTCATCAATGCTTAACAAAAATGACATACAGAGGTAATTATGCTTCCCAATTTCATCGTTCAGTTTTTAATTTACACCTTCAATATGAATTTTAATGGTCAATGCACCCAAAATACATGTGAAGTTACTCAAAAAACAAAACTTGAAGAAGCAAGCTCTTTGGTGGAACAATGGTGTTGCAATCATTCAGTCATACCAAGCAGGGAAAGGCAATAAATATTAGTTGCATATTGCTGGAAATTGGATTTGACATGCACATTATACTCTGTCAGAATGGCTATATTATCAGTACTTGTACAGCACTTTTAGGCATATTTCAAAGTAACAACCTTAGTGGCAAACAAGAAAGAAAATGGGAGGCAATAAGGAACTACGAACAGTATTGAAGATTGTCTTTAAATTTTCTGATACCTAGAATAATTTGTTGCACTAAATAAAACTGCATAAGCTAGCATCAAAATTATTCTCCAGATTCCTGACCTACTTAAGAACATAATTGAATATTCTCATTAATCTCTTACCTACAGTGGCATTCGTGTAATGACATCCATCCATTACACAATATAACAAACAGCACCTATTCAATTGGTTTCCTCTTCCTACCAAGAACAGGAGCTTTTTGCAATCTTGGCGCTCCCATCCGTCACTTCTTGAATGCTGCTGTCGATGATTGACCAGCTTTGCATACTTCAAAAAACAATAGCCATAGGATCAATATTCAAAACATTAGATTCTAAAGAGAAAAAAATAAAAGGCAATAGAGAAGGAACACATATAAAACGAAACTATCAACTGATTGTATTCATCTTACATTTAACCTCTTCATTTGTTAGAAGTGTCAAGTGCTTGGAAGCCACTGCAGATGCAGCAGTATGTGCCTTTACAAGAACCTCCTTATATCTGGTCTGAAATGCAACTAGGAGGAAAGGTCCAATGCTTTTGTCACCAGCCCTGTTTATCAAGAATAAACCCAATAATATGGTAAGCCACTAATATCGTGTATAATCAGTGGTAGGAATTAATCAAGTCTTCAGATTTAATTCCTGAGCGAGAGAGAGAGAGAGAGAGATTAAAGTACGTGAGTTTGATTGGAGCAATAATAATTTCTAGAAGATATTTTCATCTGTCTCATGTTGTCGGTTTTTAAGGCTAGGAAAATGATTTGCAGCAGAAATTCATTCACTATCTTCGGGTGTAAAATAACTTACGGAGCCAACTTACCGGAGTTCTGTTTTCTTTCTTCTGTTTATTGTTTTTACTTATTTTTTCCCAACCGTGAACAACCAGAAAAGTAGATCTGGAGAATTTAATAAAAACGGAGACATCTGTCACCCACTCATGGCCAGTTCTTCCTTATCTCATTCTCTGCTTTAGTTCCTCTCACACATAGACCAATCTACACCCACTATACTTACAGAGCCTTATAAAATCCTAGGAGGCACTTCCAGAAACACTGTTATTGATTATGAATGTCTTTCTCAATAAGATGGCTAGTAGCCAATGAGTCACAATGCTGTCCCAATTATTTCTTTTTATTCCTTGTTGGCTCCCAAAAAAATATTATTGTTGTATCAGAAGAAAAGAGAAAGAAAAAAATTATTATCATATCACAAAAATAAAAACCAATACATTTCTTGCAAATACGATGTACCTATTGCTGAAAACTAGACAGGCATATTCTATACAAAAACCTTGCAATCATATGCAAGCAAATGGCAAGGAATTAGGCATTAAGAAAAGGGAAGTAGAAGGAGGTGAAGAACAATGGTTTAATCATAATTCTTCAACTTAAAATTTGTTTCACTAGATTGGATTTCTTATCTTTCATATTTTTCTTTTTTGTTCACATTGTTCATTACTCAGGATATGATGAGGTAAAGGAAATCAGGGTCTTTTTCATGTCAATGCAATCCAAGGAGTGCAACTACTCCTTTAGAGGAAAGACTAAGATAGCTTTCCTCAGCACATTGGCTAAACAGACTGCTATTCTTGTTGCTCCTATAAGGTGATGCATTTTATGCCAAAAGGTTCTGAAAAAGTGCAAGCGCAAAAGAACAGGACAAAGCACCTAACATGTTTAATATATGCAACCATGTAGCACGCACATTTTCTGCCCAAATGAAGTTATTGTCAATGTCAACAAGCCTTTGCAAAGCCATACAGTTCCTGCATATTTCCATTTTAATTTTATACCAAACTTTTATCTTTGACATTTTGTTTCTCTTGCACAGCCACAAACTTTTTAACATTTAACCATCTTCATGATGCTTTCAGCTGGAAAACTGTTAGCAACATCTGATCAGGCTAAGTTCTGTTTCTAAAAATTTCAACAACAAAATCAAAATACATTTCTTAAAACTAGAGGTGTCAAAATAGGTGAGTTGGGCGGGTTTGGGTTGGTTAAAAGGGGTAATGGGTATAAGTGAGTCAACCCATTTATACCTATTTAATTAGATGGGTATTAGCCCAATTACCCATTTATAACCCATTTATTTTAACTTTTTATAAACTCATTTAAATTTATTTTTGCAAACTAAGTTATCAATTTATACCACTCTTTCCACCCACCATTAGTTTTAAATATTTACTTATAATGCTCAATAAGCCTAATTATCAGTTTTTTTCCCATCCGTACTCTATGTCACAAAATTATATACTATTTAATATTTGAACAATAAGAATACAAAAATTTGAACTAAGTACTATAAAAGTTAATATAAAAACTTAACCCAAAAATTTTGAACCCCTAGCATTTTTTCGTGTGTAAATTTAAAATTTTATTTTGGAATGATAGGAAAAGCGGCTAAAACTTGTCATGAATTGGTAATGCTGAAAAATGAGCAAGTTAACAAACTAAGAGAAAATAAAATGATAAGATAAAATCAACAAATAATAATAATAATGAAACAAAAGTAGTTAACATCATGACAAAATGAAGAATCTAAAAAAAAATGGATAGGGAAAGAGAGGAGACTTGGGGAAAGACAACTCTAAATGGGTTAATTGGGTTTGATGGGTTACCCAGTAATACTCATTAATAAATGGGTATTACTGGGTAACCCATTTAATAAATGGGTATTACTTGGTAACCCATTTATACCTATATGCAAAAACTTAAGATACCCATATCCATCTATTTATGGGTGGGTATGGGTAAATTTAGATAAATGGATTTGTTTGCCACCTATACTTAAAACCTAGCCGATCAACGTTCATTATAGATGCCATTAGCATGCGCTCAAATACATTGTGGTCTGATTAAACAAAGCTAACATCAACAACCTGCCAATTTTTTGACGTTGAAGGAACAAAATCGGTACTATGCTTAACTACATAATATTAGCATGATATTTTTTTATGTTGAAGGAACAAAATTGGTACTATGCTCAATATGAAGATTAGCGTGATGCCCTTGTGTTTCCATTCTTGTATTCAACTGAACGAGATATTTTTACATGACGTAATATCTCTATCTTTATATCTTACAATTTTCTGGTGGATCTTGGTTGTATGGAGGTCTGTGACCGGGAAAAGGTACTTCAAAACCAGATTCACAAGTCGAATATTAGCAGGTATTGACTAAAATATAAACAAGAAACTTACAGTGGTGCTATTTTTAGTCCTAGTTCATAGAAATATTGGCATCGACTTCTTAGATCCACATGTGCAGCATCAGCTTCAATTTCCTTGCGTGTCCTAGAACTGATGGAAACCTCAAATGATATAAATTGACCAAAATCGAGCTTATATAACTTTCACAGACAACTAAAGGCATTCCAGAAGTCACAACGCATTTGGAGAACTTCAAGTGATTCCAAAAAGCACAACATGCAATTATTTGATTCAAGCCACTCATCCTGTAAAATCATCAGGTAAATAAAATCGACCTTTTTAACAAACCAGCTGCTTGAGAGACTAAATAAGATGGCATCTACAGAAAATGAAGGAAAACATCATCCATCACATCATTATATCAAATACTATTCATTAGCTAAGTCTGCAGTTAAATGCAATAAAAGTTATTGTGATTTGTTGCATTGTCTTCATGAAGTATGAGAACATGTAGAGCAAGCCAGATTCTAAAGTATGGATCATGAACCACATTTTAGTGAAGACCTACTAAAATACCATTATACTGTAGCACTTCCCTTGACAAAAATCGGAGGAATTTGTCCACAGAACAAAACCAACAAGAAGAAAGAAGATATCAACTAGTAGTCTGATAAGTTTTACACTTTTCTGAAGTATGGTGGAACGTCAATGGCGACCACTCCTCTCACATGTAAATCTCGAGCTAGACAAAATGGCAACTCTACTTTTGCACCAGCTTCAACCTGAAATTACGAGAAACAATCACATCAACACAAATGCACAAACATAACATGCATAGACTCACCCCTCTACCCCAGAATGACTGACAGATCACCTCATTCGCATCATCACCAGAATCAAATAACCCGACCCCCTCCGCTCCTTGCTGGAATAAAACTGGTAAAAACTTTTTTTTTTTGCCCCAATTGAAAAAACAGAAAACTTCAACAATTAGTAAAAAGCCAAAAGATAACATAGATGTACAAAGCAATAAGAAATCAAGTTTTTTCTATTTACCTCCTGTTCAGCTAAAACATCATCAATATCATAATAATTTGCCATATTAAGAAACGCCCACAAATGCGAAGATGAAAATAAGCCCTTCAAAGTTTGTAGTCTTCGCCCATCATTCAACGCACCAATAGTATAAACGTAGCAAGTTTATCAATTCCCTGAGATGCTTTCGACTTTCGCCAAAGATTGCAAGCATTGATAATTTGCGTAAATCTTAAAAAAAAAAATAATAATGATTGTGGACTCCATCAAAATCTCTGGAATACTTGCTCTAAAAAAAAAACAAGAATGAAAAGGTAGAACTTTCCGATTCCTTAAATAACCACTACTTTAACTCTATCACAACAGACTTGTATAGCAATAAAATCGCAGCAAATTATAATCAGCAGACCCAGTAAGAAATTTAGAGAATTTCTTCAGAGGGGGGCAGGGCTTACCTGATTTGCCAAGTTATTTCCGAGAGAATTCTGCTTTTAGTGAATTAGGGCGAAAAATTTAGGGTTTTGATTTGGGGATTTTGGGCACAATTTGGGGGAATCTGGGAGGGCAGAAAGGAATGAGAATGGAGGAAAATGAGCTGATTGTATTTTGCGCGCCAATTTTATTATCGCCCTCGCCTCCCGCGTGCTGGGGTGGGGAGTAATTTTAAGCTATTTTTAGAGTTTTTCTTTTTTTTTTTAATTAAGATTGAAAGTGGTTTTTATGAGTATAGGTGGGAAATTGTGGCTTATTGATTTGATAACTGTTTAATGGCATAAAACCAGAAACCTCCCATGAGTTTTCTAATAAATTTACTTAGTGCCCTTGATTTTGTAAAAAAATATACCCACTTTCCTTGTCCATTTAAAATGACAATACTAGTCTTAAAATTCTTATAAAACTCCTTTGTTTGCAACTTTGCCATGCTTATATACAAAGTAGGGGTATTCATGCATGAATAATCAGTCCATTTGCAATTTCAGGGATCCTAACCATAAGTAACGGTTCAGCAAAAATTACATTCCATATCCTACCTCTATTCAATCGGTTAACTGCTAACCGATTAACCTGCAGAATAGGGTCGAATATATAGGGTAACCTAATCCTTTTGTGCTTGTAGGAGAAAAAGAAAAATAAAATTAGATTAACCAAGAAAACAATAGAACGGGTGTCCAAATTAATAAGAGTGCTTAGTCCTACAACTATAAAAAATCACCAACAAAATAAAAAATCAAAACACGATAGATAATTAAAACATAAAATGTTCCAAAAAATTGTTTTTGTTTCCTCTACTTCTTGAAAACTAATAATTCATTTTTTTTTATTAAGGATGACAGGTTGCTTCACAAACCAAACATGTAAGTTCTCAAAATTAAAAATAAAATAATTAGAATGGTAAAGTGGATATAATTTATGAGGAAGAAAAATAAATTGTTAAGAAAGACAAAAAGTAGAGTGGTAGAGTAAATGAAATTGGTGGCAACAAATGTAGGAAATGGAAAGAGCAAATGGAAGATAGGGTTAAATATACAAATTTATAAGTTGTGAAAAATAAAATGTATAATGGCATGGGTCTCATAACTTAAATTATTAGTAAATTACTAAATAATTATGAGTTGAGGTTTGGATATTAGTTATCTTAATGAACCTTTCACATACATAGGTAGGTCTGGATAACCGCAGTCTTTAAAACTTGAAAATCATATTCTAATCTAAATTTTCAAATAGGTTTAGGTAACCTAACTATTTTAAAAATTACGAGTTGATTACCTTATTTTTCGATTTGAACAAATTTGGTTTCTTGGTTACCTATATTTTTAGTTCTTTTTTAACAACCTTAATACAAAGGATGGGTTTTATACTTCTTTTTTTTTTTTTCTATTTTAGCTCATATTCATCACTCTTATATTTTATCAGCAAAATCATTGTACTATTAGTCCCTAGCCTCTATCGTGATCAAATGTCAAACTAATAGTATTTTTTTTATAACTTTAACTATTATCTAATTCTTTTTAATTTGCGGCTTTTGTTTGTTTATTTATTTATTCTAATATCAAAATAAACAATAAATGAACAATACCTAAAAAATAAATGACCTAAAATCACTACTAAACTATGGTAGTTCCATCGCTTGACTAATCCACAAACTTAAAAAAAAAAAAATTACGGTGACACTTTCTTCTGTATCTTAATAAGAATCTCTATCTTCAATAAAGCATATTAAAAGTAGACTGTCCTAATGAGATATATTGTTGTAGTTGATTACCAAATAACAAATACAGGCATAAAAAATTTGACACTCATCCCTTTGTAATTGTGTTAAATTACTATATAATTGTTTAGAAGAATAAATTAAACTTTATTAGATGCGGACATTTTAGGATATTCATTAAAAATTTGACCCTATTTTAAGGTTTGATTAGTAAAAGTATCTGTGAGAACCTTGAAAGATGCCTATCTATATATATATACCCATGCATATTGCATTTGCACTTTTGATTCATTAGTAAATTCTAGCATTAAGTATACGTGCTCTTAACTAAGTATGTGAACACAATTCTTATGTTATAAATACTATAATTGTGCTAAAATATTAAATTACTTGGTTTTGGTTATGTTAAATTAATATTGCCTGAGTTAGATTAATTTTATTGCCTTGGAATACTTAGGACGTTAAAACCTCAATAATCGAATCTTTGCGAGATTAATATATTATTAGGCATTCAATTTACATTTGGGGCAAATTTTGGAGTTAGATTAGAATTGAGGACTTGAGTGGAAATTCGGATGAAATGTGAAAAGACTAAAATAACCTCCACAATCTCGGAAATTACCATGCAACCACCAAAGCTTCCTCGGCCAACCTTAAAAACCAACATTTCCATTTCTGCTGGATGCAATTTCATCTTTCTCCACCCACACACCCAACCCCATCCGCGACTCCTCACCATATCCTCTCCACTACACATCAGTCCCACCTACAACAACTCCACTTCACTTCCATTTCCCTACCTTGGTATCATCGGCGAGAGTGAGAGAGCAAGGAAAAAAAAAAAAGGAAGGAAGTTGAGTGAGCTGTGAGTCCGGAACTGTCCGAGAGATAGTCGTGAGCTTTATTACCTTCCTCATCCCCACCGCGAGCTGCCGTTTCATTCTGCAACTTCACCTCAACCAGCTGTGGCCATCTCCAACTACAAACACCACACCTGCAACCACCGGCAACCAGGACAGCAGACTAACCATCCATCGCGTGTGTGAGTTAACCGAGAGGAGAGGTAGAAAACTTCAGCTTCTGTCGCGTGTGTAAGCTTCCAGTAGAGGTAATTTCTGGACTGAAATCAATAGATTATAGGTAGATTAAGCTGGTTATGGACTTGCATGTGAAGTTGATGCATTCGGATGATGAATCAAAGCATAAGGAAAATCTGATTCGAAGGAATTGGGGTTTTGCCGAGAAGATGAAACAGAAATGCAGCTTTAATTTTGTTTCTCTGAAGTAATCTGAGCTTATAAATGTGTTTAGCTAACTAAAAACTAGGTGATTAAACTTTGCATGAAGTTCGTTAGTTCGGTTAAGTAAGAAAAAAAAAACGAAACAACAATCTTCTGCATGCAAGCTCACCCGAGGTAGTTGAACAAAATTTCTGGAATTGTGGATGAATGTTGCTGATATCCGAACCTGTTTTGGACTAGAAATGATAGCTAATTAGTTAAGGAGTTGTGCATGTGAGATTTGAGTGCAAAATACAAGGTTTTAGCCGAAGAAAATTCGGATTTATGACCAATTAACTGCTGGAATTTCTCAGCTTAGCCGAGATAGATAAAGGGAAATTATTTACTGTTTTTTCTTAGATCTTGGGGCTGTAAAATATCATATTATTGCTGATTGCACTTTAGAATATCCTAAGACGGTCATGCATGTAAATTTTGGGGAATTTGTTCAAGTAGTTGGCTGAAATGTACTTGGAAGGTCCATGGGTTGTGATTTGGGTTTGTTTTGATACCTTGGACTTTCTTTGTTGAATTTTGTTTGGAACTGAATCTGTTGAGACTTAGGGCTAATGATTGATGAAGCCCTAGTGATATTGATGTTTGGATTGTGATTTTACTATATTGGTGACTTGGAATTCAAAGTGCAAATAAGTTGGAATCGTGAGGTCCGTTTTAGTTTTTTGAATTCAAGTATTTTTTATCAAGCCTTATTGAAATGTTTTGTCTTAATATTAAGTTATATAAATTGAGTACAGTACGTTAATATTAAAATTTAAATGTCGGGACTCTTAAAACCTTGCTAACTAGCTAAGTCTTTTCTTAGCTTGAACTAGTTTTATTACTTTTAAGAAATAATTGTATTAACTTCCAAACTTTAAGTTTTTCATAAAATTATCCTTGGCTAGTTGTTTTAGAGGAAAATTGTTAAAAACACTAGATTTAAATAATTTCAAATAAAAGGCTTGGAAAAACTTGTTTGGCAAGAAAACTTGTTTGAATTAAATTGGTTTTAGTTGTACCTCTAGAAAGAAGAGTAACTTTAAAGGAATCATACGAAATATTTTATTACTTTACTAGCTTTAATTATAAGAGATTTATTGATTTATTCCGAGTAAATAAATTAGTTTTATACTAGATAATCTTTTGTATATAAACCAAGAGTTTGTTTAGTAAAACTTATAGTTTTTAAAACTTGAATTTTTAGGGTTTAGCGAGGGCGTGGACTTCGATTCCCAACTTGACTTTTGAGCTTCACTTTTGGTGAGTGTCCGTGCTTGTTCTATGACTAAAGTGTTAAAATGCTTTCTTGACCTGTTATGTGATAATTGGAAAGTGGTTTTCCTGAACCATCGAAGTGGCAGTGTGTACTTTATTGCATTAGCCTTTCGAGTGGTGACTTGCTTGAAATATTTTCTCGAATATTTTGCAATTGTTGACTGGAGCGTGGACTCGTCAACTAATCTACCAGGCAGGGAAACGTACCACACCTTAGGGTGGGAGGGCCTCTTATCCTGTCTTGGTAAAAGCGTGTTGTGACGTCGTTGGGTGAATCCCTCGACTAGTTTATAATGTGACGTCGTTGGGTGAATCCCTCAACTAGTTTACAAAAAGGTATACTCGAACAATACCAAACTCTCTCGTGAGGCGTGCGGGCCCGGTGGGAGTAAGTTGGTTGGAGCGTGTTAAGAGAAAAAAAATAATGAATCTACATGGACTTTAGATAGTGAGAGTTGACGGAGGGTCAACTGCGGTTAATTTTGATCAAGCTAGTGGAAAATGGCTGCTGAGAGCCCCTGTATCCTACCCTGTGCTGTTATACGCTTTTCTACTTGCTGAATTTAAGTTTGAAGTTATTATTTACTATTTGTGTAATATGATTGCATGTTTTGGGCACCACTGAGTTTTAGCTCACCACACGATATTTGTTTTCCTTAACAGGTTTTGGCGTTCGAGAGATTTGAAATCTGCTTTTGGTTTTGTAAATATTGTTTCGAATCAGTCTATGTATCTTTTGTTTTGGGTTGCCACTTGAAGCTGGAAAAGTGCAAATCCTAAACTTTGGCCTGTATGAATAAATTTGTAATTTTCGGATTTCACTTTGTGGTTTGTATTGTATAAGTGTAGTTATGTGTTAAGCTAGTTGGAGTTGTTCTAAGGGTGAACATGCAGATGT